AAGTATCGGTCATAATTGGGTATCACGGTTTATTCATCGATATCCTGAGATTCATTCTAAAGTAGGTAAAAAGATCCATGGCCTACGTCTCCAAAGTACTACTCCTGAGTCCTTAACTCGCTGGTTTGAGCATTTTAACGCCATTCGAGAGCAATATTACGTTTCCTGGGAGAATATCTACAATATAGATGAGATAGGCATCGCACTAGGTGTCTGTAGTAACCAGGTAGTAGTTGGTAAGACAACTACTACCTCATCAAATAAGGCAACACTAGAAAACCGTAAATGGGTCTCTATTATCGAGACAATTTTAGTAACTAGCCGTCGACTTCAATGCCTCATTATATTTAAAGGAAAAGCGCTTTAATCGACCTAGTTTACCGACCCTAATACGCTAGACTACTCTTACACGGTTTCACCTAATGGATGGACCTCGAATGAGATCGGTTTAGCCTGGCTACGTTAAATATTCATCCCATAAACGGCGACAGATAACTATCGACTGCTTTTACTTGATGGACATAAAAGTCACGCTACGTACGAGTTTATATGGGAATGCTATATAAATCGCATTGCTCTGGTCTATTTAATACCTCATTCAAGTCACATCCTACAGCCACTTAATCTTGCTTGCTTTTCGCTCCTTAAATGTCGCTACCGAGACGAAATAGTTAACTTAGCTAGGTACGACGACGCCGCGGCCGTAAAGTAATGAGGGTCTTTCATCATTCCGTATTCGCGCGGGCTGGAAAGCGACTGGTATCTATCCATAGGACCCCCGTAAAGTCATTCGATCTCATCAAGTCCGGACTAGAGCGGTTGGCCTACAATCCTGCTAGCAAGAAGCATTCACCAAGGATTCGAGGGCGCCCTGTTATCGCCGCCTCCTGTTTCACAGTGACATCAACGATATCACGGTGAAGTGGCAAAAGAGGTGGAGAACAAAAGGGAAGGGATGAAAAGGGTGAAAAGGGTGAAAAGGGCCAGTTGTAACGGACGAGATCGGTGAAGCGCTGGGCTGGCGGAAGAGAGATCGACGGAGACGAATTTGGAAACCACAAGCTGCGGTATGGGTGAACCCGCCGATAGAAATCGTCCTTGAGGCGGATACTAATACACCCATACTGCTAGGATTATGGTACTGTACTGTACCTGCCGTCTCTCAATAACCTCGCACTTCGCATGCCCTCACCAAAGCACGAAGCATTTCTAGTTCGGTTTTGGGCGAGGGTTTTGCGTGATTGGGCCGGCCGCGCCGCGGAAGTTACTCAAAATTATTTTTCCCGACGGTTCCACGACCATCAAGCCCAGACACATTCGATTTGGAAGACATGAATCAAAGTAAGATGGCTGGGACCGTTGGATGAAACAAATGAAATAGCACGTGACAAGAACAGACTCCATAAAGCTGTGGTGATGCCATTTCATCACCAGAGCTCCCTCAGCGCACCCCGCGAACTCCTGCGAGATGGTTTGCATCTCAGCAACTGCTGACCTCCACTATGACGGCCTTTACCGAACCATGGCGAAGTAATGCGTTCTCTTCTCGACTCGCCTGGGTTCTCGGACCTCATTCTTTCATGCCAGGATGGAGGGTTCCATGTTGACCGCTCCATGGTTTACCCTCGCTCCTCTTTCTTCGCTCCTACTTGTTGCGGAGGCTCTAAGGCGAGTCACCTGAGTCTACTGGGTGGTGCAATATCCAAACTGATAAAATTCCAGAGCGTGGAGATGACGCCTCAGCCACGGTCGAGCGAATGATCTCATATTCGATTTTAAGGATGAGTTACAGCAAAGACTCACAAGTTAAGAAATGCAATTCCGAGTTTCCTGCGAAGATGGCTGAAAACCTCAATCGGGGACCTGTTCATTCTTCAGACACTCGCCAATACGCCTCGCGGTTGATTTCTATGTGATTCGCCATGTAAAATATGAGCCGAGCCAGCGAAGGAGGTTATATACTTGGTCGAGAGGACTCCATGCCTGTCCCGAGGATGCCGAGCCAGGCATCTGTGCCAAGGCGCTATCCTCCCAGGCACCTTCCCTTTTTGGCTGGACGCATGCTGCTTTCTTACTCCTTAAGTTCCACGAGTCGATGTCATTAGGACCGTAACTCATAAGCTTTAGAGAATACAAAGTACTTTATCTCTATGTACCAGGCGCCCTGCTAAGTCTCATATGCTCCAACAATACCTCTGTCTGCGGAGTTTGCGGACACATAACTTTCGGCACGTGCGTTTGTCGCCGCGCACACAATTTCCAGGCAAGTGAACCCGCCAAAAAAGCGTAGAAATAAACTCGGGGGATCCACGCTCTATCCAACGGATATAAAAAGGTACACTGGCGACTCGAATTAGTGGATTAAAGTCGAGACTTTTGGCTCCGTGGCCAACCTGTGAATCACCGCAGGAGCACTTGGGCTTGCAGGACGAGTTTCGAGCACTTGGACCTTGCTTTGTTGGCCTTTTATAACTTTTGTAGATGGATGTAAGTTAGTTTCTGTGATGCCTCCCATATCAAAATTTTTGCCTAGGGATCCTACCCAATCGCGTCGGTTGAGCCATTGTTGATGCGACAGTACACTTGTGTGGAACGTTGACGCTCTTTTGAAGTGGTCTCCACGAAACCCCAAAAAGGGTCCTCGCTGCCCCGCTCCGGAGGAAAGTTACTCCGAGCCGATGTGCGGTTGTTATTAGTGCCAGAAATTGTGGCTGTGCCCAAACATGCGGCGCGGAAACCTCACTACTCGCCACCATCGCATGCTTCTACCATCACTGTATTACTCTTCCACTTCCATCCTTGAATCATTTGGACCATCGCTGATGGTTAGTCTTTCGCAAGACGATCGCCACCTCATCGCACGTCATCCCTTGGACAACTCTCTCCAACACCTACACAAGTCACTTCGCGATGCAGAACAGTATTGTACCTCGACTTCCAGTCCACCTGGCGGCGCGACCAATGATACCCAAGATGGTCCAAAGGCAATATCGCGACTTCTGACCGCTCTCATGGGGCAAGAGGCAGCTCTTGACCTCCACTCTCGCGTGAGCGATCGAAACGTTGCCGCTGAACTCGCCACCATTTTAGGACGTCTTCGACAAGGCCAATTCGACTACGCTCACTGCCTTCCACTGGTGAGACTCACCGTCCAAAGAGCGTCCGACTTGGAGATATGGAGAGCCGTTCTTGATCTCATTGCCACTCCCTCGAGCGTGACCCCCCCGCCCGGCGTCCCGGCCGCGTTCGATGATACGCCCGTTACTCATTCCTCCGCTTCACAACAAGGTGGCGAACAAACTCGGGAGCTGGTGAAGAAAAAAATTTTCGAGGAGATCAGATCGTGCACATACCGGGAAGTGGGTGGGTTCTTTCAAAAATACTTTGAGGGGAAGGACTGGACTCCTCGTACGTTGGACATCTACCGGGCGATAAAAGGCCGACACAAGGACGGCCGATGGACGGATTTCCCCAATCCGCCCGTGCAAGCCCAAGTTCTGGCCTGGTGGTTTCGATTTCAGGAAAATTTTCTCTCGAAGGAGCGAGGCCTGTACTACGCAACGACAAGCCCGAAAGAGCTGGTCGGTGCTGAAGCTTGGCGTCAAATCGATCTCTTTGTGAAGCCAAACGACGGCCGGATATCAGACTCGGCCCACGACTGGAAGGATGTTAGAGTGATTGGTGAGCTCAAGGAATCCAACAGAGACAAGAGGGGCACGCTTCTCCAGATCAGTCGATACGTGCGGGATGTTTTCTCATGCCAGCCGACACGTCGATACGTCCACGCGTTTACAATCTGTGGGAGGGAGATGGAAGCGTGGGTATTCGATCGCTCAGGTCCTTACAGTCCAGGTCCCTTCGACATACACGACGAACCCGAACGCTTTATTCAGGTAATTGCGGGGTACAGTATGATGAATGAGGAAGAACAGGGTCTCGACACATTCATGGAGCGAGATATTGACGGTTACTTCGTGACTCTTGAGCAGGACGGTGCCGAGAGCCCAACAAAAATGCGACTGGAGCCACACCCCATCACCCGTCAACGAGCAATCGTCTGCCGTGGGACGTCTTGTTTCCTCACCAGGACTGCAGGCTCCGAGGGTTACGACTGCGTCACCAAGTTTTCATGGACATCCGACCGGCGACGGCGAGAGGCGGATCTTCTCAGATTGGCCCGTCAAAGAGGAGTCAAGGGCCTAGCACGCCTGGTTGCCCATCGCCGCATAACTGACGTCGCGGAATTGCGCTGCGAATTGACATTTGGTGACCCGTACTCTTTCCGAGGTCCATCGAGTGCGGCGTCTTTTTCGCAGTCATTTCCGCAGTCTCAACCCGCTAGTTTGCTTTCTGGGTCATTCAGCGAGCTTCATGGCTTGAGTATCACCGGGAGCCCATCGAGGAAGCGAAAGTCGGTCAATCCCGGACGGGCACCCTCTAAACGATCGCGGTCCAACAGTCAAGGGTCAAGCCAAC